ATAGTACTTGGAAATTTTTGGTAGAATTATATCTAATTCACGATGATTTATGGGAGTACACACAAACAACGCCAGATAAAACTGATGTAGTAGGCTGTAGGAAAGACCAAAAAGCGAGAGCAAAAATATGCTTGATGGTAAAGCCCCACTGTCTGATTCACGTTCGAAACGCTAAGACAGCTAAAGAAGCGTGGGACGCTTTGAGATCGGCTTTTGAAGATAAGGGTCTTAACAACCGTTGCAGACTTTTGACCAAGTTAGTTAGCCTAAAACTTGAACAATTTACATCAGTTAGGAGTTATGTAACAGAAATAATGTTAGTAGCGCAGCAATTACGGGACATCGGTAAAGAAGTTGACGATGAGATGCTAGCTGCTCTCATGTTACAAGGTTTGACCGAAACTTTTCAACCAATGAGGCTTGCGATTGAAAACTCAGGAGTAGAGTTGACCACAGATTACATAAAAACCAAATTACTTCAAATGGAAGATTCGTATAACACTAGTAGTTCAAGCAGTAATGATATAGCATTGCGTGTTGATACACATAACAAGACTAGGAGATTTCCATACAAGAAGTCACAGAAGATAAAATGCTTTATTTGTAATGGACCACATAAAGCGAGAGATTGTCCAGAGAACTCAAAAAATAAGAAGGCTTCGTTAGCATTGGGACTTGCAACTTCAGGAAAACCAGACGAGTGGATTTTAGATTCTGGGGCATCAAGCCATATGACTAACAGCAAAGAGTATTTAATGGACGTTAGAATGTATGACAAAAAAGTGGAAATCGGATGTGCGAATGGTAGTAAAGTATATGGTATTGGAGAAGGTTCTGTGGTATGTAAGGAGAATGTTGCAGGCGTAAGTGAAGTGATGTATGTACCACACTTAGCAACTAACTTGTTGAGCGTGAGTGCTATTGTAAAGAAGAATGTAGTTGTTGTATTTTCAGCGAAAGGCTATGAACTGTTGAAAGCGGATGGATGTAAGGTTACTGGTGATGTCTTATATACAGGTGTGGAGGATAATGGTGTTTATAAACTTAAGCTCTGTTCACAGGAGAAAGCACTAGCCTCGACTGTCAGTACCATAGACATAGAGTTGTGGCATAGACGTATGGGACATCTTGGTGTACGGAACCTTAAGCTGCTGAGAGACAAATTGGCTACAGGGGTAAGTTTTACTAATAATCCAGTTAACTTACAGTGTAGAGCTTGTTTGATGGGAAAGCAGACCAAACAACCGTTTAAAAAGGGTTTAGCAAACAGAGCTGATGATATTTTAGGTTTGGTTCATACTGATGTATGTGGACCAATGAGTAAAGACTCAATGTCGGGCTGTAAATATTTTCTAACGTTTATTGATGATTTTACAAGAAAAACTTTTGTATATTTTATCAAAAACAAAAGTGAAGTCTTTCAAAAATTTTTAGATTTCAAGACATTTGCTGAGAACCAGTCTGGAAAGAAATTAAAAATTCTTCGATCGGATAATGGCAAGGAGTATGTCAATGAGCAGATGAAGAAATTTTTGAAGCAGTGTGGTATACAACAGCAATTAACGGTTGAGTATACACCCGAGCAGAATGGAGTTGCAGAACGTGCAAACCGCACAATAACAGAAAAAGCTAGAAGTATGCTTCAGGAAGCAGAGCTAGATGAAAAGTTCTGGGCAGAGGCGGTGAACTACGCTGTGTATTTAAAGAATAGATCACCGACCATTGCAGTTAAAGGTAAAACGCCAGAGGAAGCGTGGACTGGAAGGAAGCAAGACTTAAGCATGCTACGAATTTTCGGATGCAAAGCGTTTATTCACGTACCAAAAGTAAAACGGACGAAATGGGACGCTAAATCTAAAGAAATGATTCATGTAGGCATCTGTGAAGAATCGAAAGGCTACCGCTTAATAGACCCAATAACTAATCATTTAAGCAAGGCCAGAGATGTTGTGTTTTTCGAGAACGAGAATATAAACTGTAAGCAAACAGTTGAAAGAGTTGAGAAGTCAGCACCGCTTAGTTTTAAGGATAACGTCACAGAATATGAAGATCACATAGAAGTTCAAGATTTTCAAAGAGATCAAATTGAATCGGAAAATGAACCTGTAAATATTGTAAGTAGTAATGATGATGATATTCTGCATGAGAATTTAGAAACAGAAACAAATGAAGAGAGTTCTGTTACAAGAAGATATCCTTTAAGAGATAGAAAGAAGAAAGCGATACCTGACTGCATTACATATCACACAATAGCTGATTGTGATGATCCGCAGAGTGTGGATGAGGCATTGTCTAGAAGAGACAAACACTTATGGAAAGCTGCGATCGACGAGGAGCTTAATGCACTCAAGAAAAATAAAACATGGAAATTGACGTTACCTCCAGAATCTTGCAACGTCGTTGATTCTAAATGGATATTTAAAATCAAAGAAGAGGCAGGGGGAAATAAGAGATACAAAGCACGCCTAGTTGCAAGAGGTTTCAGCCAGAGGCATGGAATAGATTATTTTGAGACATTTTCTCCAGTTATTAGACATAGCTCTTTGAGGACATTGATTGCATTGGCAGCTCATATGAATCTTAATATAGACCACATGGACGTGAAAACCGCATTCTTGAATGGTAACTTGGACGAGGTGGTTTATATGAAGCAACCAGAGGGTTTCGTTGAAAAGGGAAAGGAGAATTATGTGTGCCAGTTGCAAAGATCATTGTACGGACTTAAACAAGCTCCCAGAGCATGGAATAAAAAACTTCATTTGGAATTGCTGAAACTTAAATTCAAGAGGTCTGAGTATGAACCATGCGTTTATATTAGATCTACAGGAGATAAAGTAATTATTCTTGCCATATATGTAGATGACATTTTATTGTTCTGGAATAATGTTGAGGAATTAAGGAAGGTTAAAACCGATCTCACAAACAAATTTGAGATGAAGGACCTTGGCACAGCGAAGTTGATGTTGGGAATACGAATAGCACAAGATAGTGAAGGGATCAAACTGGATCAGAAGGGATACATAGAGAAGGTTATTCGTACATTTGGAATGGAGAACTGTAAACCAGTTGCTACTCCAGCAGTACCAGGACAAAGGCTAGAGAGGCCACAGCTTGATCAAGAACTTGATGAAAAAGTACCGTATCGCGCATTGATTGGTTCACTGATGTACCTTGCTGTTTGTACGCGCCCTGACATAGCACACACAGTAAGTCAGCTCAGTCAGTTTAACAACAGCTACGGAGACGAGCATTGGATAGCTGCAAAGAGAGTGCTCCGCTATTTGATGGGAACCAAGGATCTAGCATTATTCTATAGAAGGGGAAACCAAAATGAGTTTGTATTAGGTTATGCTGATGCAGATCACGCCGGAGACTTTGATAGAAGATCAAATTCAGGTTGGGTATTTTTATCTCAAGGAGGAGCTATTTCTTGGGAGAGCAAGAAACAACGTACAGTGGCAATATCGTCTGCAGAAGCTGAGTATGTAGCGTTATCAGAGGCTGCAAAAGAGGCAATTTTCATTCACAGGTTTATTGCAGAATTAAGAGATGGACCCAATCCCGCAATCTCAATTTTCACTGATAGTCAGTCGGCTATGGCAATTGCTAAGAATCCTGTACATCACCAGCGTACGAAGCATGTGGATGTAAGATATCACTTTGTACGTGAGGCGATTGAGAATGGTGACATTCATTTGAGGTACAAGGAAACTAATAGAATGACAGCTGATGTTTTGACAAAGTGTTTGTTGAGAGGTAAATTTGAATGGTGTGTGAAAAGCATGGGTTTGAGTTGTGTGTGAATAAGATGGCTGTTTATATGGTAGGTACACTAACAGGCATGAGATTAAGGAGGAGTGTTAGAGCGACAAATTGCTAGGAGTTTATATTTGCGTGTAATCTCATTGCTGTTATTCGTATGGTTTGTGGTTGTCAGAATTATTTGAATATACTGACTGACATGCACTTCAAGTTTTTGGTTGTTACTTGCTTAGATACGTTGTTTGTACTCATGTGTTCTATTTTGTTTGTAAATATATATTAAGTCAATATTAGCTGGCATTCTTTATTTATTATATATGATCGAGGTTATCTAGTCCTCGATCACGACGATTTTTCGCTTAAGGTTTGGTCATTGTCGGCTTAATTTCCATCTCTTTCGGTTGCAAATGGTGAATAATGCTCAATGTACTCATTGCAATTCCCAAGAAGAAACCCTAGCTCACATTTTCTTTGACTGCCCATCCTTCGGCATTCAGCGCCTTGTGTTGTTGGATGAGCTAATCCAAATTTATGGCAAACATGATTTGGTCCCGCGTTCCTTGACCGATCTTCTTGTAAATAATTGTACATACGTTCCTCTGTATAATTTCATTGCAAACACTGTTGAAGAAATATAAATATTCTGTAATATCGTTGTGTATTAGATTTTAAGGTTAAATGTTCTGCATACACAAAACGCTCAGTTAAGTTTAATAGGTACCGCATGTTCTCTTTCCTTTTATTTGTTTGAAAAAAATGTTTATTTTCGTAATTTTGCTTGTAGGTATTCTTTTTCGTTTAGGTCGTCGGTTTGAAACAAGTTTGAAACGTATCAAATGTCGTTGTTTTAAGTTTGTTTTTTCTTTTCTTAAGTTTTGTATTAGGATTAAGGTATTGCATGGTATTGGTCTATGATTTATTTTTTGTGTAAATGTGTACTATAAAAAAGATATTAAATAAATATGAAATTCATATAGGATGTAATTAATTCATGATTGGACTGTCTAGTAAGAGAAAAAATTAAATGTTTGGTGTTTAAGATGTTCAATGTGCTCGGAAAAAAGCACATAATAATAGAGTAAAACAAAAAACTAGAAAATATACCGGAAATTATCAAACTGAGGAAGTTATATTGAATTTTAATAATAAAAAGAAGAAAAATAACTAATGACGAGGCAGTATGGTCCCAGACCTTAGCCTGTCCGAAAGGACAAACGAAAAGTCATTTTTGAATTTTGGTGGTTTTACTTGTTCATTGCATTGTTTCAGTTTAATAAATATATAATTAATTAATAATATATAATATAATTATATAATTAATTAATTTAATTTTTGTGCACAGCTGTTAACTTACTGTATGATAGATTACTTGCTCAGTGACTGTATGTTTAATGTTGTTTATAATTGTTGTTTAAGTGTTACTGCAATAAAAGAGACTTCTACTAATATTTAACAGCTTATTGTTTCAAACCAATTTGTTATTCAAAGTGTTCCATGAAGAAAGTGCGCTTCGAGTCTCCCATTAAAATATTTAATAAAAGAATGGATGATTTAGAATGCCATTCGCCGAGACCATTCATTGAAAAACAAGTTTTATCTGGTAGATCTGATATCTGTGATGGTTATCCTAGACTACTGGCATATAACCCAGATCCAGTGCAAAGATTTGAAAATAGTAATAACTCACCTCACCCTGGAGTAACTAAAACTTTCGTATCAGATTGTGCTTCACACTTGATGCCATGTAATGACTTAGATCTAAGTATGCTTGATGGATCTTCGCATATACCTAGGAAACCGATTAATAATAATGAGCGAATTTTTTCATGTAAGGAAAAACTTCTTTGTGGCGGGCATTCCAATGTAAGTAGTGATAATTTTATACAGAAATCACGACATGTATTATCTCCAATTGAGAATAAAGAAACAGTTGAACAACCTGGTAATATCAGAAACAATATGTTTTTTATAAGACGTGATAATTTAAAAGAATTAAATTTACAAAATGTTTACCCATTACAAAATCAATTAAGCAGATTAAGCTTAAATAAAGAAAATGTTTCTCTAGCAAAACAAGCTGAGATAGCTAGATTATCAATAGGAAACACTTCAAACAATACAGAAATGCATTCATTAAAATCTGCGAATGTACCTGATGAATGTAGGTGCCATCATTGTGTCAAGTTGATTCAGAATGCGCCATGTAGATCCAACCAACTTAACCAATTTACAACTGATAATTGCAATAAGTATGTCAAAAGTATGGGCCAATTTTGTAATATTGCATCCGAATGTGAACATAGATTGCGGCATCCTCAGAAAAGTTATCAATGCAGTAATTGTATTCAAATTGAACAGCAACCAATAATTTGCCATTGTAGAAAAGAACCCTCCAATACTACTGAAGTGGTTGATAAAAAGACATGGATGTTAAAAAAGTATGACAGAATGAAACAGCAAGAAGTTGCAAATCAAAGTGTTGTTGTCAAAGAGAAAAGAGAACCAACAGTAGCAGACCTTTTCAAAATTATCAAACTTCAAAATGAACAACTCCAACTTCTACAAGAGAAAGTAGATAAATTTATATCCACTAGTAGCAGTAAGAATGTTAATGAACCTGGGAAGAATTATATGACTGAGCAAGCAGCTCTTGAGACTGCTGGCACTGAACACCAGAAAATATCAGTAGGTGTTATGACTAGCTTTGAGATGGTAAGAACATCAACTGTGATAAACAAGGAGACAGTTACTCAAACAAATGAAAGTGGACAAATTCAATGCAATAGATCTCAAATTAGCATAAGGGAAGTCATATCTACAAGTCAGCAAGGCAATCCGAACTTTTTGGATGGTATAACACCTTTTAGCAAAGAAGCATCTGTACAAAATGTAGATCATGATCATATAATCAAGTTGCAGAAAAGTAACGAAGATCACCTGGCAGCTCCAAATGAAATTATCAATGATGATAAAACATTGAATGAACTCAGTCTCTATAATGTTCAAGTAGATAATGCTATTACACCTTTGCTATCACCAGAACAGAGCTTATATTTGGATGTTAGAGATTATAGTGAGTAAGTAGTGGTATGAAATATAAAAAAAATCTTATATTTTGTGTAATTTTTATTTAAGGAATTTAATTGATAATTAATGAAAATAATTTCAGTTCTGACTCTGGCAGTGATGACAACTCCAATGTTGGCTGGACATACTACAATAAAGTAATGGTATGGTTTTTGTTCTGCACCCTATTCTTAAAATATTCTTATTTAGTACATTTGCACACAACTAATAATTTAACTTTATAAATTTTTAATTAGATAAGTTAAAATTTTATTAAAAAAGAAACTAAAATGTTTTCAGACTCATGTGAATGGTATGTTACAAGACTCTGACATGCCATCATCAGCTAGTGCAATGTATAGAAATACACGCCAGCAGTGTATTCAAATGCAAATTGACAAGACTAATGTTAGTGTGACTAAAAGGTAATATATTTTACTTAACAGTCGCTCAGTTTATAAGTAAGTACATTTGTAAATTAAATCCAATTTCCTCTGACATTTAAGAATGAGTGAAAACCTGGTAATATGGTAAAAATAATTGTGTTAAATTATTTGCGTATCTAAATGATTAAGGTCAATACTGTTTGCTCTAATTGACAAACTTACCATCTTTTGTAAACAGTATTAACTAATTAAGACTCGTTGACTTATTATTTTAACTATTGAATACACCCAGGCTACCACACTTTCTCTGAATCAATCTGCAAAACAATCATTATTATAAAATTTGTAACTGAAGTACCTATGTGCAGTAACAGAAGCTTAAAATAAGTTTAAATCTAAAGAAAATATGACTAGAAAAAATTCCACGCGGACCAGGCAGCAGACGGGACTCGAACCCGCACCCTTCGCAATCCGGGCGAATGCACTGACCAATTATGCTACCGCGGCCCTCACGGACCGCGTCGAAATTCTTTCTAGCTATTCTTAAGCTGCAAGGCAGCACCATCTCTTCGCATTATAGGTAAACCCACAATGTCAAATGTATACTTTTACAAGTATTAAACATTTGAAAGAAGAAATAGCAATTATAGTTATAATTTTTTATTATTTTTAAAGCATGTAACTGCTTGATGTTTAAATCTAAAGAAAATATAACTAGAAAAAATTCCACGCGGACCAGGCAGCAGACGGGACTCGAACCCGCACCCTTCGCAATCCGGGCGAATGCACTGACCAATTATGCTACCGCGGCCCTCACGGACCGCGTCGAAATTCTTTCTAGCTATTCTTAAGCTGCAAAGCAGGGCCATCTCTTCGCATTATAGGTAAACCCACAATGTCAAATGTATACTTTTACAAGTATTGAACATTTGAAAGAAGAAATAGCAATTATAGTTATAATTTTTTATTATTTTTAAAGCATGTAACTGCTTGATGTTTAAATCTAAAGAAAATATAACTAGAAAAAATTCCACGCGGACCAGGCAGCAGACGGGACTCGAACCCGCACCCTTCGCAATCCGGGCGAATGCACTGACCAATTATGCTACCGCGGCCCTCACGGACCGCGTCGAAATTCTTTCTAGCTATTCTTAAGCTGCAAGGCAGCGCCATCTCTTCGCATTATAGGTAAACCCACAACCCCTGGTCCGCGTGGAATTTTTTCTAGTTATATTTTCTTTAGATTTAAACATCAAGCAGTTACATGCTTTAAAAATAATAAAAAATTATAACTATAATTGCTATTTCTTCTTTCAAATGTTTAATACTTGTAAAAGTATACATTTGACATTGTGGGTTTACCTATAATGCGAAGAGATGGCGCTGCCTTGCAGCTAAAGAACAGCTAGAAAGAATTTCGACGCGGTCCGTGAGGGTCGCGGTAGCATAATTGGTCAGTGCATTCGCCCGGATTGCGAAGGGTGCGGGTTCGAGTCCCGTTTGCTGCCTGGTCCGCGTGGAATTTTTTCTAGTTATATTTTCTTTAGATTTAAACATCAAGCAGTTACATGCTTTAAAAATAATAAAAAATTATAACTATAATTGCTATTTCTTCTTTCAAATGTTTAATATTTGTAAAAGTATACATTTGACATTGTGGGTTTACCTATAATGCGAAGAGATGGCGCTGCCTTGCAGCTTAAGAATAGCTAGAAAGAATTTCGACGCGGTCCGTGAGGGCCGCGGTAGCATAATTGGTCAGTGCATTCGCCCGGATTGCGAAGGGTGCGGGTTCGAGTCCCGTCTGCTGCCTGGTCCGCGTGGATTTTTTTCTAGTTATATTTTCTTTAGATTTAAACATCAAGCAGTTACATGCTTTAAAAATAATAAAAAATTATAATTAAAATAAGTTATTGAAATTGTTTGCTTTTAATTTAAAAAACCAAAACTTATTCTCCAGACATGACTTTTATTGCAGTTTTTTTTATTTCAGAGTTAAATTTGGTGATGATCCCCTGGGTATTCAACAGCCACATATATATACCACTTCTACTGATACAAGCTTGAAAATGAACCAGTTGGCTGCCAAGTATCTGAAAAATTATACACCCTCACCAATATACCAACAAGTGCCAGTAACCAAACTTACTGCGATGCCTACCGACATGTCTTTCGCTACTCGAAACTACATGGAGAGACATAAAATTTTACAAGGTAAATATAATTACATGCATATTATATTCAAGGGCATTGCTGGCCAATGCCATTTAGGTCAGCCAGTGTTCTTTTTTTGAGTGTATAAAGTTGAAATTTCCTTTTTATGATTACAACTATTTTTCTCTCAATTAAATTCTAAAGAGCTAATTTGCTACTAAAAAAAACGACGGGTTGCACTCCGGGAGTACCGGCAGAAGTGACTTGCATATTAACGTTGTGCATTTTTGATATTTTGGAAAGGTTAAGGAATAATTTTGCACGAATTGCTTTAATTATCAGTATAAAAGTACTATCATTTATGTGGTAGAATACGATTTTTATTTTTGCGCTATCGTACACAACGATGATCGTAATGATGGTATTACAATTTAACGTGTTTGCTTAGTAAAGTTAATATAAATGAATTCTTTTATGTTTGTTGCTCAGATAGTTTAGTAAATCCTGTAGCCTTTATTTATATCATTATATCCTTATTCCATCAACAGATAGGCTTGTTCTCCAGCACTGGACGTTAATTGGCTAATGATGATTGTAGATTGGTAGTTTAATCAAACAGGCTGAAACATAAACTTTATATGAATTTAATCTCATGTTTTTATTTGTTTTAGGTGGTAACATTGTTCCATCGCAACCCTGTCCCGCAGTTGATTTGCCAAAATTCTTAGACATAACTACTTTGAAACAACAGCCAAAGTTTTTATAGAAAACATGAATTGTATTTGTTACATTTGTATATTTTGTAAATAAAAATGCAAAAAACTTGAACAGACATTTATTTAAATCTCAGAGAAAATAACATAGTATAATAATTTATTTTGTATAATATCTGTTTGTGAATTTGTTGAATTTCAATACCATTTACTTTGAACATTGCTATAAGAATTATTAATACAATATATATGTATAATAGTTTTTTCTCTTTAAAATATGGTAGTATATAATTTATTTAATTTTACATGTATCTCTTCAATTTGTTTAGACATTATCACATTTTATGGTTATGTTAATATTTAATATCCAATGGTAGGCCTATATAAGTTACCATCATTCACATAAATAAATTATATAAGCATTACTTATTTATAATATAATTTGTAGTTAAAACTTTACATAATATAATTAAACAACAAATTTATACTTATCTTTGGAGGTATTATCGATATTTTTCTTGTTTAATTGTAATTCATACTTTGCTTATAACTTTCATCCATAGTTTTATTAAAGCCGGACTGACAAAGCACAGTGATGGTCAATTCATACTAGAGCAGAGTCGAAGCGCATAACCCGCTTTTTGTGGTTTACGTTGCGGAGGAAGCTCCGCAACGTAAACCACATATTCCTGTGCTGCGCCTTCTATTTATCTCAGAAGGAATATGTACCTATCGTCGCTGACACAGAACAGAAAGGCGCCACAGTTGAGTACCACCATAACTTTACCAAAACTTGGTTGTGATTACTTCATTGCTCTCGGGTGTGAGTGCTGATTGGTTCAATTTTATGATGTCGCGTCGTTTGATTGGCTATTATCTATTAGGTGGAAGCGTAGTGGGGGCGAGCCGTACGTACCGTGACGGTATATCATCACCCTTCTAACCTCTTTCTGTGTTCTGTGGTTGCGGAGATAAGGGTGAATTTGTTTAGTTACATTTTCAAAATTCGCTTCGACGCGCTTCGACTCCGCGCTAGTATGGATTGACCATGAGGGTCCAGTTAAGACAGATTTCTAATTTTATGATAAAATGTCTACAATTATTACAAAAGCACGGTCAACAGCCTCTCCGGTTGTAAAAAAATTCTTTAATAGGTTTTAATTTTGATGCAGTTCAAAATGGATTGGTCAAATATTCACTGACAATTTGGATGTGCTGTTGATTGTACAATAAACCTAATGTTCAGTTTAATGATCAGGATACTGTGAGTAATTTCTTGCAATAAGTACCTACACTGAGTAGGTACTTTAAATATGATATTGATACATTTAATACCTCCATTTTTTATCTTAGCTTAAACCTATCAGTTTGGTTCTTTTCATCTTTGGTTAAACAAATTTACACTTTCCATTGTACTAACAACACTGAAACTTGTCATCTAATCTACTACGAACAGTTATTTATTAGGTACACAATATCTCTGTTGGAGTTTATAATACAATAACATTCAATAATTTAATATCATCGAACTTCAATACTAATTAATTAATGTTTTATATATACATTGAAGATAGACTGTATTAACACTTAAATAAGGTTTCAATTCTCTTGCATCGCAAAATATTACAGTTCTTTTTTTTTTATAATATTAAAATCTAGAAAGGTAACCAAATATTTGGATGGCACTTCTTTACTGTTTGTCGAGTAGACATTCAAGACGTAAGTTAAAATTTCCTCTATAAAGTACTATAATACATCACTTTTTGTCTTACATGACGCATTTATGCCTTGACTAGACTAGGTTAGTTTTAATCTTACATTTATCAGACGTAAAATATTGATGGTATTGAACCGTATTATGTAGGTACTACGTACGAATAGGTGCGCGGATAGTCCGAATGACACAACTTTTATGGGGTTGCTAAGGACTGAATTGGAATAAAGAAAATGATTTTACATCTTATAAATAAATTTTAGGTCATAATCGGTTAAGAAAAGCGACTCTAAATTAAAATATCAGGAACATGTATGTCTAAAAGAAAAAAACGAGCGAGCCTTACAGTAGTCGCGTATGATGTAAAACAGAAATAAAACCTACTACAAAAGGAATAAGCCATTTGAACATTACATTCTAAAATCAAATCAAATAGCGTGAGCTTTCGCGACTTCCTGTTACACACTTCCGTCCCAGTTCACGAAATTACTCCCACAAATTGCAGGAAAGCGAGAGGAAAGATGTTACACATCAGAAAAACAATTTTATAAATAACAGATTGCCTAAAAGTAGCAAACCAATTTATTTTAAATATTATCAAGGTTTTTAAAGAGAAAGAAATTGAAAGTTGTTCTTGGTAATTAATAAAACTACAGTGGAAAAGCAAAATCGCTTACATGCCACTTTGGTGTTGCTTATAAATTAACCTAATTTCAGTTTTTATTCAATGGGGCCGTTCAAATATTACGTAAGCAGATTTATTAAAATTATTTACCTCTTCGAAATAATAACAGAGTAACCAGTAAATAATACTTTCAATCTTATATCGTCTTTCTTGTATGTTTTCTTTTTGCAATCTTATATTATGAAATTATTTAATCATGTCAGTGGTTTGAGCATAATTTTTTGTGCACTGCAATTCAAATGAACCATTTATCTCTATAAAGACTATTCTAGATAATTAAGTGGTCGAAAAAAAAATAGAATGTATAATTTCTTAAAACATAGCGCTTCTAAAGAAAACATTTTTAATCATCTAGTAAAATGTTTTAATTACTTAGCCACTTTTAAAATCTCTATACAATATAAGTAGTTATTTATATGATTATTTAATTTGTTAAATAATTAATCCCATTTTATATGCATCACCCATTTATCACAACATTTTCAATCACACTTATTTTCAATTCTCACTACTTAACTATCTACAAGAACATTCTACATGGAACTTTTTTAACCGAGCTAAAACTTTTGTTTTGTTATATATCTACCTAAATCATCACCCCAAATATTTAACAATGTCGAATATTATAGCAAAATTGTATAATATAATTTACTTAAAATTGTGCACCTGGTTCCGTATTCGATAACTAACTATGGTTATTGATCGGCTTACAGAGTTTCGTCATCACCTCCGCCCCTCGATTTGCTGTCCAGTCTTAGTTCTGCAAGTCTCTGTCTAATACTGTTCGGTCTGTAAATAATGAAATGTATGAAAAAGGAACTGTTTTAAGTCGAAAATCGTGTGAACTCGCTCTCTGACCAATTTCCAATCCCCTGTTTACCCCCTGAAAGGATGATTTCCGGCATAAAAACTATCCTATGTCTCTTTACAGGGCTTCAAGCTATCTATATACTAACTTTCATCTAAATCGGTTCAGCGATTTTTGCGTGAAGAGGCAACAGAAAGACAGACACAATTGTGTATTTCTAATATTAGTATGGATTACAATAGCCTTGAAGTTACTGTTATACGCAAAACGTCAAATTAATTAAACGCTTCATTCATTCACATGTCTCATTGTATTGCTATCGCAAAATAGTGACTGCATCATTTTCAGACAAACTTAAAAGTTAATTTATGAGTGTAGCTGTTAGAACAGTGGTTCTTCATTTTAAACCCCTTATTCATAAACGAGTCTACTCGTTTAAGCTTAGACTAGTTACTCAGTGTTTTGTTCATACCACTCAATCAAATGCAATCTGTTATGAACAGAGACAAAACATAGAGTTACTAATCCTGGCTTATTCTTCGTTTATGAATAAGGGGGGGTTAGTGACGAGGGACCATTTGTCAAAATTTCTGTCTTCCCACGGACCAGCCTTTAAATAAATTAAGAACATAAAAAAAGTTTAAGAACTACTGCAATAGAAGCTAATAAGTGGAAACAAATGGAATGTTACCTGTCGGAGAAGTAAGAAGTGACGACTTGGTCAGCGGAGACGGATTGTCGTTGATATGCGCCAGCGCTGAGATTGCTTTGAGGGATTTTGTAGATTCGCACGCAACGCCCGCTGTTCTCTGGGAGCACTGTATTGAAATTTAGAACAGCAGTAGAACAATATTCATTATCAGCCTATTAATGTCCCCACTGCTGGGGCACAGGCCTTCCCTATGGATAGAATAGGGATATTGGGCCATGACCCACCACGCGGGCACAGTGCGGATTGGCGGGTGCTAACGACTGCAGATACAGCCGGGACCAACGGCTTAACGTGCCTTCCGAAGCACGAAGGAACTCGAGATAGAAGATTTTTGGTCACCCATCCAATGACCGACCACTGTGAATGTTGCTTAACTTCAACGATCGCAGCCGAACGCGCTAACCACCCGCGCCATCGAGCTCCTCACTATTATTAAGTCCAAATAAAACAAGTTTAAACGTTTCAACAACATAGATCATAATCATCTCAAACAAACTAAAAAAATAAAAATTTCAATAAAAAACTACTCTGCGCGTTAAAGCGTTAATTACATACCATGCGGCGAGCTGGGCGGCGATATGGGCGCCATCCGCTGCAACGGAGGCCGTATGTTCTCCTGCTCAGAAGATATGGAACTGCTTCGGCTCGACTCAGAGTTGTTCTCAGACGTGCGATTGTTCGGAACGCAGCTGTCGCCCCTGTTTGACGCAACGAGCTTGATCAACTTGTCTGACACTAATTAATGGTAGTATATAAGCTTTGTGACCTTCGCAATTTCATTTTCAATGCAATGCAACATATCGAACATTGTCTTAGTGCAAAAACTTATTAATAACTAGGTATACGGTTCTGCATGGTCTCGGCTCGGTTGAATATCGGGTCGAAAATAGGTCCTATTGCTATACGATAAGATTGAGACATTTTACAATGTGTTAACTAGCCTGTACTCGTTCATACTATGGGGTCAAATATAGCTCGCATAGCTACATGATAATGTCGATATTCAATGTCTCTAAGTATAGGGCATAGCGCACTTGTTATTATGTTGTATATGTTGCTTATCTGTCGCGCTAGCCTGTAGTTTATACTAATATTGTAAATAGGTGAGATTTGATTCGAGCATCCTGGATTAACACATAAGCTACGTTTTACTGCGTGAAAATATCTCTAATAAACCGCGGGTAACACCGCGAGGCACAGCTAGTAGAAATTATTTGTGATATTCTAATGCATGGTCGGTTACATAGTCGTCTCTTTTCCATGGTCTCACGCGCTCTATATTTGCTAACATCGCATGCAGAATTACGCGTAGAGTCAAAGAAATGAAGTCTATATTCTTCCGCCTACAGCAACAATTCGTAAAATTTTACGAGCTTGCATTTCGAACTGTCGTAACTATTTGACGCATACGTTTAAATTAAGACTTTCTATCCTCAATATTAAAAGTGACTTTGAATGTTTAAACATAGCTTTATATTGTTTTTGACTACACGATCATCTTAAAGAGCTCCCGTGGATCGTCCAATGCACCTTTTGGACAGGTTTCGGCCACGATTTAGTTCGTGTTGTTGTAATCTAGGGTATTAAATACATAGAGGTATAAGAATAGAGTGGGGAAGGCGGCTCTAAAAGTGTCCGTCTAGTAGAAAGAGAAAGAAGATATCTATCTCTCTTATGACGCATGGCATCCAATAGTATCACATCGAATTAGTAAGATGCTTACGGTTGCCAATGCGCATGCGCGATTAGAGAGAGAAAGCTAGCGGTCTCTCATCTTTTTTCCCTTTCTATTAGGGGGACACTTCCACGTGTAGTAGAGTCTATATCTCCCCTACTCTATTGTTATACATCTATGATTAAATATCTTTGGTATTAGTATAATAATGTTAGGAGAATGCGAAGTATATGGCACCTGTTATCGTTGTCGTCCTCGTCGAGCGAGTAAGGCGCGCCCTTGTTGCTCATCTGTCGCGCGAGCTCGTACTCGTGCATGAAGCTGGGGTCGATCTCTCGGCTCAGTGGCACGTATTCCGGCGCGCACGCAACGTAGAATATGTCCTAAAAAATTACAGATTTTGTAATTAATGTGATCAATATATCTCTCGGCTCAGTGGCACGTATTTCGGCGCGCACGCAACGTAGAATATGTCCTAAAAAAATGACAGATTTTGTTATTAATTTGATCAATATATCTCTCGGCTCAGTGGCACGTATTTCGGCGCGCACGCAATGTAGAATATGTCCTAAAATGACAGATTTTGAAATTAATGTGATCAATATGAACCAATCAATCAATTAATAGGCATCGGATAACATCAAATCCTTTGGTCCGAATGATATAAGATGGGTCCTTATATCCATTAACAAATCTTTATTTATTGGGGTAAATATATGTAACTAGGCGATTTCTAAGAAATTTATAAATACGACAATATTATAGCAGTTTATGAATACGACAGGGTAATATGTACCATACATATTATTTACTGTACCTATCGAACGCGATAAATATTTATGATGTTTCTATACACAAAAATATCACACTAATATTATAAAGGCGAAAGTTTGTGTGTGTGAGTGTGTATGTTTGTTACTTTTATACGTCTAAACGGCTAAAGCGATTTTAATAAAATTTGGTATGGAATTAGCTGCCACCCTGGATTACTGAATTAGCACATAGGCTACGTTTTACTGCGGGAAAATATCCCTAATAAACCGCGGTTAACACCGCGGAGCACAGCTAGTAAATAATAAAATTAATGTAATCGTCTGTAAGTGTTTCATCAAATGGTAAAGGCATTGACTGACCATAAACAAATAAATTTGGTTTTATATTTTATTGTTATTGTTTTAATATTTAAATAAAGTTTATGTTTAAGATGTTTGCCGGGATGTTAATTTAATTAATAAAGACCAATGAGCTCACCCTCCGACCGCACAGCAGTTTCAGTCCTGGTATGCACGCGGCGTGTACCAGGGACCCATTGGCGACCAGTCTGATTTCCAACAAGTCTTCCGCGAAAGCCATTATGTATGGGAATGCACAAACTGGAAATAAACAGAAATTGTGAAATTACTACTCTGCTTATTGATGTATCTACGCAAAGACGGGTCAAAAATAAAACGTTATACTAGAGTACATTTTAGTGATGGATCTTATAGCTCCCTAGCTATAAGATCCATCACTAGATTAACTAACAACGAAATTGTGATCTCAGAAGTTAACGACAAGAATATAGGTACACCATCATAATGAAAAATCTAATCGACTGATATCCTTCCCCAGTTTACTGCTATTTCTGTGACCTACTCACCTACAGCAGCGGGCACCGTTGTCCAATGAAAATCATATTCCGCGTCACTTTCTAATCCTTTACTGGTTAACCTCTCGAAGTGGCATGTATCTGCAATTCGAGGTGGTTTGTATTAGATGTAAAATACCTAATAGTAGTTTAGTAGGCTTATTCGCTAACTTCTTTCACAATTACAGTGTGCAGCTGAAGTGTAGTTGAAGTGAGAATAGCATATTCATCGATGCTTTTTAGGACAAGTATCTTAGTGGCTTAAATAGTGGATCAGTATATCGGTGATCATCATTCCATCTATCAAAAACTGTTAGCGAATAGGCCTTCAGAACAGTTACTTGAATTTTCTTAATATTATGGTTTAAAGCTCTTTGAACTCACGGTTGTAACATAAAACTATTTGTCCGTCCCGCTCATCACCAATTCGAAGTGCATTGACTAGTGTCCCTCGTCGTGGTCCGCTGTCCTCAGAGTTTTCTGCTCGTTTAATAGTCTAAAATGAAATGAAATTGTACTTTATCACAAAGAAACTTTTTCGGTGTTCTATGATAAAGAATCTTTTATTTCCGCAGTCAGAGAAGTTAATAATGCTTGTCTGTTTATATCGAAGATACGAGTGCATTTGACAACTCAAATAATGCCTATTCACTCTTGAGTATCCGGGAACACGGGAACAATGATGCGAGAAGAAAAATCTACACCCTTAGCAATTAGTCAATCTGTCAGTAAACGAGACATATATTAAGTAGGTATACTAATTAAAACTGTGACTCACTTGTCCCGTATTAGATTCTAGCAATTCCCAATGATGTTTGTATCCAACTACCATTACACCGACTTCTCCGTCCATCAATTTTATTAGAATAGGCGATTCACTTAATTGTATATCCTGAAAATACCAGCAATTAAGTTACTTAATTTTAATAAAACTAAAGAAGTTATAATTTTTATTATTTTTTAAAGCATGTAACTGCTTGATGTTTAAATCTAAAGAAAATATAACTAGAAAAAATTTCACGCGGACCAGGCAGCAGACGGGACGGGAAAACTAAAGAAATTTCATTAAAACCTTAGATAAAAATAAAAGTTACCTTGATATGTGTGTATTCGAATCCCATTTCACTATCAGTCTTAGATTCTTCAATCATTAGCATTACTCTTCTACCAATGGCTACAGCAAGCGTCGTTTTACCGCTTTCTCCTGAAAAAAATGGCGAATTTATAATTGCATTTGATATTAGAAATCCAGTAGCTCAAATGTAATTATACTTACCGGATTCTAGTATATCAAAGTAATGTGCAGTTTTGGTTCGTGGTAGACGCGCATGCTTGCAGTCTTGCAGTGGTCTCATTGCCCAGGCGCCAGCGCATAGCTCCTGTACATATAAACAAGAAGTGTAATTGCTTCTTATGCGATGTCATTTGCTTCTGAGTGCTCTCAAAAGGAAGACACCAGATGCCACGATAACGTTAAGTTAGTGGAATCCTATTGTGAAAATAGGTGGTGCGGTAGGAATATATGCCGTACCAAGTGTCTATTTCATTATCATCAGTCTATAAATACCTACTTTACTGCTGCGGAATAGGCCGAATGGATGGGATATGGAGAATGTAGCAGTGCGGATTAGTGAGTGCTGATGACTGTAGGGATCAATGGTTTAGAACACCCACAGCGCGCGCTCCGTGTTTAACAAGCCCGCTCGTTTGCTCAAACGCACAATACGGTTGAATCCGCTCACCAACCCAAAGCGGGCTGTGCCGATCTCAAACACAAGCGCATATGAATCCCTCACCCAATACCACGTGAGTTGTGCCGAACTTAAGAGATTGGTGATATTGTATCTCTATGGGCAGTGCGTACAGGCCGGTTCCCCCCTGCCGCCTAGAACGTGTGCTCCCACGCGGAATAACCCCGCTCGCTTTCTCAATTACAAAGTGCGGATGAACCCCTTATCCATTACCACTTGGGTTCTCTCGAGCTCTAAAGAGTATTTTTACCCCGGCAGTGAGTATAGGCCGGCGCCACCTGTAGTAGACCCGCAGCCTATTTCGCACGCCCCCGTGCGGAACAAACCTGAACCCTCGTTCATACGCAGACCCTCCACTACAACACTACGTAAGTTGGGTCAACGTCTAGAGTATATAGTTTCTCCCAGCCATAGCCCATCGGCCAGTGAATACAGGCCGGCGCCTCCCGCGCCCCTTCTAGTGGATCCGCCGTCTATAGTGCGTGCTCGCATGCGGAACAAGCCCATTCGCTTTCCCAATTGTACAGCACGGATACAGCCATCATCCAACACCACTTGGGTTCAGTCGATCTTTAAAGCATATTGTAACCCCACCTGTATGGGCAGTGCGTACAGGCCGGCGCCTCCCGCGCCCCTTGTAGTGGACCCGCCGCCTATAGCGCGTGCTCCCACACAGAACAATCCCGCTGGCTCTCTCAAATACACAGAGTGGATGAATCACTCATTAACACCACGAAGTTTATGCCGAATTGTTGATCTTTAAAGAATATTGTAACCCTACCTGTATCGGCAGTGCGTACAAGCCGGCGCCACCCGCGCCCCCAGTAGTGGACCCGCCGCCTATAGCGCGTGCCCCCACGCGGAACAATCCCGCTCGCTCGCTCACACGCGCGGCTCGAACGCAGCCCTCCCACCGCAAAACCACGCGGGTCGTGCCGCTCTCTAGAGAGAACATATGCCCTACATAGCTTTAAAATTTTGCAAAATATTCTTGTTATCCCACTATTAAAAGGAACATGTGTTTGTAATTTAAGATTAATAAAAAAATATATCCAAATTAAAGCTTAATACTTTAGAAATGAGACCTACGAAATAGACTGCGTGCGTAACAGATACCTTCTAAAATGTAAGTGTTGGACGTTGTGGACAGCAGTAGTCTGCCTTCAGTCATCTGCTCAGCGCACACAGGTGACGCTGGCAGTGGAGCGGATCGCCAGACCCGACCCTCCCAAGGCGCGCGTCTGGAACCTCCTGACCCTGAGACGATAGAATTTCGTCACTTTAGACCTTGGTGACTAGACTAAGTGTGTGTGTTTTTTTTTACTTTAAGAGCTTTGTATTGTCTCTTCTTACAAATGCTAACGAAATTATGGTACATAAGTAAAGCATACTGCTCTAGTTTGTATTTGCTATTGAGTATCGATAGTAAACCAAAAAATGAGTGTATGAAAATGGTATTGTCGTCTATTCTGTCTGTCTACCCCACCGGGTCCGGGATATGCCGTCGGGCCCGTGCCGTGAAGGTCAGGAAGCCGTGCGTAGGCAGATGGGCGTCGCTCATGGTTGCTTGCCGGCGCTTGTGGTGTGACAGCCGGTGCGAAGTAGAACGGCTGGAGCTGCTGGTAGGCGGCAGATGCTTCCAGAAGGCGGGCTGAAGCAGCTGAAGACCAGGCGGCGTTACCGCCGATGAGGTAGTATAGTGTTTTAGGAGAGTTTAGTCGTAGACGCTTGGAAAGCCAAAGGGTGCCGTACAGCTTTGAGTTTTTTACTTGAGGCTGCTAGGAGCATCGCCCCTCAGCACCGCGACTAGCGCCCCCGGACTATACGTCTCAAAGCGCGCGACTAGACAGCATTGGCTAGGAAGGACGTTCATAAAGTGTAATTTGTAGCTGCTGACCTGTAAAAACCAGGCTGGTAGGAGTATCGTCCCACAGTACCGCGTCTAGTGCCACCAGACTACACCCAAGAGCGCGCGACGTGACAGCATTGCTAGGAAGAACATTGATAAAGTGTCATTTTGTAGTTAATGACCTGTAGATACCAGGCTGGTAGGGGCATCTCCCCTCAGCACTGCGTCCAGCTTGAGAGCCTGTCCCACATGTAGGAAGCGCTCAGTGCGCGCCGCGCCTGCACCGCCTGCGCCCGCGCCGCCAGACCACACATCTGAGAGCGCGCGACGTGACAGCATTGGCTGGGAGTTAAATAATTGTGTTATCATTTTTAAAACTTAGGATTATGATAGCAAGTCTATCATATATGAGTTTTTAGTTTATTTATCACTAGCGGCCGCTCACGACTTCATACGCATGGAGTTAGTTAGAAATAAAGGTTCACTGCTCGTTCCCCGTAGGTGATAGCGTGATAATATGTAGCCTATATGTTGACCCGACTTCTTAGTAATATTCGTGTCAAATTTGAAGGAAATCCATGCCGTATTTTTTGAGTTTATTCCGGACATACATACAGACGAATAGAAAAAATCTAAATCTATATTTTTGGCTTCGGTATCGATTGTAGATTACATCCCAAGTATTCTTTTAAAAAAATATTCAAAGTACAGTTTTGACTTTCCCACCATTTTATTATATATATAGATTTACGTTTTATTTAGTTTATCATTGTTTTTAATGGATAGAACCCTTGTTGCCGAACCACAAAGCTTGACTAGCCTCTGGTGGGCGGGATATGCCTTGATCCGTTTCTAGACATTAAAAAAAGATAACCGGTTGCGTCGACGAGACATTGTCAATACAAAATGTATGGTTTGCTTACTAAAGTTCACACATTTCGTTTCATAATTCAATACATTTTATTTTCACAGCGTCTTGTTCCAAGGTTTTTCTTGCAAGGAATTTCAAGTTCCTTTTACATGCTTGTAGGTTATCTCTAAAATTTTCAGCAGTATTATTATAAATTATTATTATGAGTTGTCTTTTTGCTTGCGCTTCGCAAGTGATTAATAGAGGAGACCTAGTGGAGTTGTGAAAATTTTAAATGTAGGGAAATATCTCGCTCAAAAAACATTTTACAGCTATGACCTTATTAATAAAACACCATTCCTTCCCTTTTCAAATCAATTAAAGTACATATTATTGTTTTCGAGAAAATCAGCAAAAATTAAAACTACTGCAGGTATGTACCAAGGTAGGCTGTGCAGGTTTGTAATAAGACTATTTGCATATTGAAAAATACCATCACATAAAATAATGAATCATGTCTTTTTTTTTCTTGCCTCAGGCAATGTAATCGGTGCCCCCCAGTGCAATCTTCACTTTGGTGACCCAAAGATTTTATCTGTGGTGTGACCAGCCTTTGCATTTTAGACACTCTTCATCAAATATATTTAATTTTCGGATTTCGGATAGTTAGACTTGGTCTAAATAATCAGCATCATCATCTCAGCCACGCCCACGTCTGAATAATAATTCATATTTATGATAATAGATTTGTGCAACGCTTTGACTTAAATAACCATATAACTTGAGAAAAACGCACATGTGTTTTGACATGATATAAATTCAATAAAAAAATTATCGTAATTATGCAACCGTTTTTGCCGCGCGCCGGCGGGTTCTGAGTCACCTGACTGAAATAGACGTATCTAAAGTTAGAATAGAGCGTTGTTGCATCTCGCTATTAGCTATTATTATATAGGTAGGAAAAAAATCTCTGTCACAACTCTCCTAGGTCTCCCCTACCAAAAGTTTTTGTGCTTCTAAATAGCTATAACATAAAATCTCTCATACTAGTATGAGACTCACCACCTTATGATCTGAACAGTGCTCGGCGTAGATGTCGCGTATCAGTGTGTCCAGCGTGCGCTGTCGTTTCAGAGCAAACGTCGGTGTCTGGAAAGCTGCCTTCTCGCCATTCATCAGTTTTACCTTAGAATATGGAATTTCATACTTAAAGTTCAGGATTTTGAAGGCCTGACTGATAATATATCATATCGTAGTTGTATTGTTATTTTAAACGCTTAGATTGATTTCTCATAAGAAATCCCCCCCCCCCCCATCCCGAGCAGCCGCTGCGCCAGTTTGGCTGAGTGGGTGGGCGCGATTTGGGCGGAGGCGGAGTCCCACACAACCCCGTTTCTCACCCAGAGGCGGGGTATACCTCACGCATTTTTCTAACAATAAAAAAAAAAGGTTTCATAGAGAACTTTTTCTTGTGAAATATTACTTTAGATTTATTATATCATATTGCGGAGCCCATGCTATGACTATGGCTGACTTATCATCCTCCACTCCTGGACACAGAACTCCCCTAGGGATTTCCAAACACAATAGTCGTCCACTTTCCTCGACCCGTGGGTCCCGCGAATTGCTTGATGTCGTCAGCCGAGCTGGTGAGGGGCCTACCGACACTGAGATATCCGGTGCGAAGTCGCCATTGAAGCACCTTGGGCCCTCAACGTCCATCGGTTCGCCGAACAATGTGCCCCGCCCATTATAGCTGAATGACCTCAATAAACTTACCAGTAGAAATTCCCTGAACAGTTGTGGGTCGTTGAAGACCGCCGGGCAGGGTAATGAGGGTCCGAAGGGAGGCACCGTGTCATCACTGTACACGCTCAACCTATACCCCTCGCCTTCCACTTCCGACACCACAGCAAATATGTCTGTTATGCCATTAAAGAAATTTATTGCTTGTCAATCACGTTGACATCGTAATTAAAACGAGTCGCGAACGAACTACATAAATGGATCTGTAGGGACAACATTGTTGATTTACGTTTTTTCCTTCGGGGTAACAATAATGCTATTAAAGGACGTTTTTAAATTCCTAATATATTGTAAATTCTTCAAAGTTTAATTTTATTGTTTTATATTATCATGATCTCAATATATCTCATGTCTGAAATATGTTTTCTGTATTGTATTGTAATTAGCCCTCCAAACTTTTAAGTTTTATCTCTAAATCTGCAGTGCTGGAAAGAGTAATTAAGTGGTAACTTCGTTAATTATTTTAAGATCATAATATGAACATACTCTTGATTAGCAGATTAACATTTGAATTTGAGAATTCGGACTTGATTTTTAAAACAAATTCTTCCATTAGGTCTTGTATTAGGTATTATAACGTCCTTAACGTTGCAGCCTCCTTGTTTAGGTAAACTCTTTGCTTTTGCAATGCCTACGGTTGGCAGTTATATTAAAAAGATAATGTCATGATTTTAAGATTTGAAATGAGGAATCGTCTGTCTTTTGATAGAAGGTTCCATTGATGATTAGATCTTCAGGCGCCAAGAATTCCTCTCGTATTTAGATAAAATACTTTTATATTAGCCTGAATGATAAAACGAAATAAATAACTTATCTCTATCAGTATCTTTCAATTAACATCTACGCTCCCAGGTTCTATCCCTTCTGGGTAGAACTCTATATGGTGGAGGCGCCGGGTATTACATGTTCGGGAAGCGGGTTATTAGGGGAATGACGAATCGGACTAGGAAAGTGACTTGGTGAGGTTTGTTGTCGGTCTCCCTGACCAACTTGTGTTCCAGAATGGGATGGCGTTACATGGGATAGTCTAATTAGAGGATTTATTTCTGGCTCGTTGTTTCCCCCTTCGTATATTTCTTTGGACTGCTTGACCACTTCTTTTAATTGTTGCTTGTTTATATATATTTGTGATCCCAAGCGCCCCTTGGTTTGGTAATTTGCCGATTTCAAAAATTGTTGAATAAAACATTTGTCGTCAATGATATTTCCTGCTTTGGAGGCTAAATGATCTAAGTCGTAAAAATAAGTTAGTGGGTCCTCTGTTGTGCCTTGGCGTCGTGTGAAGAATTTTGCAATATTATTTGTAGATGATGGAAATTCATCACAAATTTTCTTTTCTAGAATCTGAAAATTCTCACAAGACTCGTTAATTTTTTTATAGAACAACAATGCAGGTCCACTCAAATATGCCGACAACACAACTCTTTTTGTATCCTCGTTGAAATTATTGATGGCGGCGATGATATTAAATTGACGAAAGAAATCGGTTACATCACCTTTTCCGTCGAATGTGGTCCTGGTCTCCATCTTCATAAAACTACTTCTTTCTTGATTTAAAATTATTTTTCACTCGCGGTACTTGAAGCTAACGCGGCGCCTCCACCATATAGAGTTCTACCCAGAAGGGATAGAACCTGGGAGCGTAGATGTTAATTGAAAGATACTGATAGAGATAAGTTATTTATTTCGTTTTATCATTCAGGCTAATATAAAAGTATTTTATCTAAATACGAGAGGAATTCTTGGCGCCTGAAGATCTAATCATCAATGGAACCTTCTATCAAAAGACAGACGATTCCTCATTTCAAATCTTAAAATCATGACATTATCTTTTTAATATAACTGCCAACCGTAGGCATTGCAAAAGCAAAGAGTTTACCTAAACAAGGAGGCTGCAACGTTAAGGACGTTACAGTATCTACTAATGTTGCATTTACTGATCTCATAATTTGATTGAACAAGTTGACATGTTTATCTCCTGGTACGCAGAGTGGAGCACATAAGAAAATATAGTTTTGATATACCTTTGATTTTTTCTTTTCCCTTGTAAGTACCTTAGTATATTAATGTTTTTGTCTTGTGGGTACTAAGCTTTTATGTCCATTGAAATCATAGGGGCCATCCATAAAATACGTCACACATTAAGGGGGAGGGAGGGGGTCGACAAAATGTGACAATATGTGACAAGGGGTGGGAGGGGTCCTAAGTTTCGTGACGTCACATTTTAAAATCTAATACCTCCTTTTGAACTATTATCAAAATTCTTTAAAATATGTAGATCTCTAACTGTATGGGATTTCATTTGTTTTTATGGCCTGTTTTCGGAATTTATTTAGAACATGCTGTGTCAATTATAATTTCTAAATTCACACTAGGGAAGGGGGTTCTCACATTTGTGCCCATCTGTTAAAAGGACGGCGGAGGGGCAAAATAATCACGCAATGAGTGTGACGTTTTTTATGGATAACCCCATATCTTAAGAATTCTTACCTGACAGTCAATATTGCTTGTGCAATAAGTCTTGATAGGTGTACTGTTTAACATAAACAAATGATATTAAACCGGCTAATATTGTCTGGTTCAATTTTTTAATTTGTACAGTCTAGTTGAGTATATTTGTGATAAGTTTAATTACTTATGTTAAATTTGAATGTAAATTATTATTATTAATTTATTAAGGATTTCTATTTTCATTATTATTATTATTGTTACTTAAAAGTTAGACACTAGACTCCTTAATGAGATGAAATTCAACGACAATTTGGAATCTATGCGGGAAGATTGAAAAAATATAACTTCATCGTATTATAGTCACTATCATTTTATTTTAGTTAAACATGCAGTTTCAATTTTAGATATATTTTATGAAACCGCGCATGTAGGAGGTAACAAAAGAAAGTTAAGGAAACTGAGATTAATTTATTAAGCAAACACCCATTGGATCTCACTTAGTGTAGTCTGTATTGAGCCCACGCATTATCTTGACCCTGTGAAAACGAAAGCGTTCGTCTGCAAACAAATGAATCAGTTTCTGGTGTAAATAAAGAAAGATCGAAAATTATAATGCTTTGATCGTTATTTGTGAGAGTTTATTGTGGAGAATCTGTAGAGTACATTTCATAAAAAATCAAAATTTGAAAACAATAAAAAAAGTGATGGCATTTTAGGTTTTTCAACAATATTCTGAGAATGAGAATTCTCAGGTTTCTCCATAATCATGTAAACAGAATTTGAAAGATATTTTAGTTTTAAACTCTTTGATTGAATTAAGGTAGGTATAGAACACATGTATTAAACTTTGTTTTATTAAAAGTTGCAATCGCATGCACCAGTTATAAACATCAGTAACATGTTGGTATGTGACACTGATTACAATTTAACTTGTTATCTTGATTAACAATATTATCTTAAGATTCTGAGATAAGCAAGAATGTGTTGGCACGTTGATTTATAGAATCCATACCTATCGTCATCAATAGAATCACATCAATGCCACCACATGTGACATACTTAGCTAGGTAACTTTTAAATAAAACAAGTTTCAACGGTAAAGATGCACTGGTCTGATAAAATCATAATTCAGACGACGCATCCTAAAAAGGATGCGAAACTTAAAACTTGTTTTATTTTAAGAGTGGTGTGCGTGAAAACCTAAGAAACAAAAATAGGTAACATTCCTTCACAAGAAGTTTCTGTATTATATAGCTACTAAAAAGGTTTTTAACCTCGCGTAAGTATTTTTTTTACCTTTTCATTTGGAAAAATATCTTTTTCATTAACCGATAAAAGCAGGAACTTACTAATGTGCTCAAAGTACTTATAAGCGGTTTTTTTCAACCAAATAGTTGGAATCGGGGATTCCTTTCATGTTTGTAACTTGGCTTTTTTTACTTAAATAGACACCAAAATTTTACCATAAAAGTATTTTTTTTAATCTTAACAATATCGTTTAGAAACACAGTCGGCATACTTTGTTTATTCCCGGAAATAAATATTAGCTAAGTACACTACAGTTTAATTGTATTGCTTTTTTCGTTAGTGACACTTGACAATCGTCTATATAATAGTTTACACTAATTTTAAATGAAATATTGAATAATACTTTTCGTAATATAAATCCTATTTCGGTTATCTGTTCGATTCTAAGGAAAATTGTAAGTACAGGCAGAGAATAAGTCCCGACGTTTCTAGTAATGTCAGATATTAATTTCTGGGGTCACCTCCATCAAAATAGACTTGTTTAATAAAAGTCTTTTGACAACAACGATAAAGGACTTTGTATCAAAAAGACTCTTCTCTCTTTCTAATTGAGAAGTAACGAAAGGTACTACTAAGTCATGCATAAAAATGAAGGTAATACAAAAGTGTAATTTTGTTTTCTATTACAAAAACCCTTGTGATAAAATTGAAATTAATAAAGACAGAATCTTCCACTTTCCTAGCATCCCGAACACTGTTATGGAAATTATTCAATTGTCTTTCTTCTAAAAAGGCTTTATTAAGTGTCAAAAAAAAAACAAAATAAGTTCGCGATCACTTTGAAAAATACATAGTTTTTTGTGTTACAGAAGACTTTTTTGTAATTTCTTTTTCTGAAAAGATTCTAAATTTTCAAATTAGAACGTAAAACAATAAAATAATTCAATTGTTTTTCCATACAAAGAGACATGCAATCCAAGTCAACTCATTCAGAAATCTGACTTAGTCAATATTATCGAATTTAATATATTTTTTCACGGAAAGTTGTGATTTAAAAATTGCCACGAGGATTTTCAAACGTTTTACGAGCCAGAATTGTAACTTTGAGGGAAGAAGGCTATTACGCTACGAGAGAAATAGCACGCAGAGTTTCCATATCCCAATCCTGTTTAGTAACCACGTTGCAGAGGTACCACGGCATGGGCAATTTAGCTGATTGACTCCGCAGCGGTCGCCCAGCTGTTTTGACAGCTGCTCAGAAGCGCTACATCAGGTTGCTGGTAGCCCGCGACCCAACAATAAACGCCACTAAATTAAAAGCAGAACTACGGGCCGTCTCCGGACTTGAAGTTAGTACTCCGCCATTCGGAATTGCTTACACAAGGCTGGATTACGAGCACGGAGGTCTTGGCCGAGCACCTTTGAATTCACGGGAACGTCAGCGACGGAGATTACAGTGGGCTAGGCTCAGGCAAAACGAAGAAGACGAAGAGGAAAACATTTGGCAAAACTGCCTCTTCATTGACGAATCGTGAATCAGTACTCATCCAGATAACCGACGTGTCCGTGTTTGGAGAAGACCTGGGGACTCTGAAAGGCAAAGAACGGCCACTGGAACGGTTCAGCAAGGAGGGAAATCGGTGTACTTTTGGGGTGGTATTATAATTGGGGCTAGAACGCCTTTAATCCCTTATCAAGGCTTGATGACGGACGACAGATACAAAACAGTCGCTATTGATGGAATCGTCAGACCTTTCCGAGTAAACCATGGCCACTGGCACCAATTTGTACTGGTTGACGATAATGCGCCCGCACATCGAGCTCAACGAATCAATGCTGGTCACCGAGAATACGAAATCACAAAATTAGACTGGCCTGCCGGCTTTCCTGATTTAAAACCAATAGAGCACGCGTGGGATGCTCTTAAGCGCGCTGTTTGGAACCGGCAGCCACCCCCCCAGATAGTGCCGCAGGAAGCTGTTCAAAAATGGATCAGGTTACCACAAGAAATGCTGGATAACTTGATCCTCAGCATGCCGCGGAGGATCTCCGCATGTGTTCGAGCCAGAGCAGGAGTTATTTTGTATTAGATAAACAACAATTTATTAATAAAAGGTTTAAAAGTTTGGTTAAACTATCTTTTTATTTCTATCAAAATTCTATTACAATCGCTTTAGGATTGAATTATTATTATTTTTTTGCTAAAAAATAAAATTCCTTTTGTTTTATAAATTCCGAAAGTGTATTTTTAAATAAAAAAGATATGACGCAAACATTTTCTCTTGATTAAGTTAATTTTTGAAAATATATCATTAGCTTTTGCAAGTGATCTCAGACTTTTTTTGATGTGTGTAGGTACTTTTGTTCTTTAAACTGTCATGGTCACTAATATTATAGTAATATATGTCATGATCATGGCGCTAGCAACAGCTTCGAAATATCGGGGACTCGCAAATAGCAAAGTACATGAAAGCAATCCCGTAAAAATCAAAATTACTTACTTGCCTACCTGTTAAACTGAATTAACACATGATTACGCAACGTTCTTTTAACAAAGTCGTTAAATACACTTCTGGACACATCTATTGGCCCACCTTAGAGTTTAGGTTTCGATGGCCCCTACCGAAATATGATTGCTAGATTGAACAAAAACTGTTGATGCAGTTTTAAACCTGATACATTTTACCATCTTTTTCGATCGTATTGTTTTAAATTTGAATTCAGAATACCATACGACATGGAGCTACGCCTAACAAGTCGGATATGCGCCTTGTTAAAGGCAATTGATTCTTGAATAAAAAATGTTTTATCAAATAAAGGTTTAATTTAATAACGCGTGTTGCCTCCATGGGCATCTACCACAGCTCTCATACGATTAGGCATAAAGTTTATCAACCGCTCTATGAAATTTTGAGGGATCATCTCCTATTCCTCTTCTATGGCAGTTTTCAACTCCTGCATCGTCTGTGCAACTGGCTGACGAGCCCTAACACGTCTTTTTAGCTCGTCCCACATGTGCTCAATGGGGTTCATGTCTGGGCTTCTGGCTGGCCAGTCCATAACTGTGATGTTCACATCTCGAAGATATTCCCTGACGATGCCGGCCGCATGGGCTCTTGCATTATCATGCATAAAAAGGAAATTTGGGCCCACATAGTCCGCGTATGGTATCACGTGAGGTTCTAAGCACTCACGAATGTACCTTTCAGCATTTAATGTTGGCAGCCGTGGTCCTGTAACAACCTTAAGTTGAGTTTTGCCGCTCGCGGATATACCGCCCCAGACAGTCCATGAGCCACCGCCATAAGCAACCCTCTCTTCAAAGCAACATTGTGCGAAACGCTCTCCCTTACGTCGGTAGACCTTCTTCCTTCCATCATTGCCATGTAACACAATTTTAGACTCATCAGAAAAGAGTACACGGCTCCAATCTTGCTGTGTCCAATTTAAATGACTGCGTGCGAAATGAAGGCGCGCTGTTCGGTTGGCTCGCGTTAGTTTGGGCCCATTAACTGGCTTGTGTGGTACCATATCGCGTTCTTTTAACCTTCTCCGAACAGTTCGAGCGCTCACAGATACTCCGTGGAAGTCGCGAATTTGTTTTTGTATCTCAATAGGAGGTAAGGTGACGATTTCTCAAGCTGGTCGTCACGATGAATCGATCCTGCCTTTCAGTTGTGACCCGAGATCGTGGCCTTCCTTGGCGACGAACAAAGCCGCCAGTCTCTAGGTACCTCCGATAAACATTTCGGACCGCAGATCGACTTAAATTAAGTTGAGCACTCACGTTTCTTTGGCTGTATCCGGCCTGAATAAGTGCCACAGCTTGGGCGGCGACTTCAGGTGAAGTATCCATAGATTATTGATAGAACCTCACCTTAATGTTAAGAATAAGTAATGTTTGTTACAAAACCAAAGATATCAATAACTTTTTCAAGAATTAAATCCAAGTAAACCAATAAAACCAAGTTTTCTTAGTATTCGATTGTTTGATATCAACAAACAGGCTCCAAATTGTCTTTTGTTTCTTTAAATTCTGTGTTCGAAATTCAAAAAAAGACTATTGAATGAAATTGTGAATGTGCCAGGTTCAAAACTGCATAAAAACTTTTTGCTCGACCTAATATAAAATTTTAGCTAGGACCAAACGAAACTGAAAATACAAGGTGGGCCAATAGATGTGTCCAGAAGTGTATAATTGTTTCTTAGGTTTCACGCACATTACTCATTAAATAAAACTAGTTTTTACGGGTTAGATGTACTGAAATTATTTATTTATTGACGTTCGCATCCTTTTCAGGAATGCGTTGTCAAAATAACATTCATGAAAAGGATGAAGGATGGAGGAAACGTCAATAAATAAATAAATTCAGTACATCTAACCCGTAAAACCCAGTTTTATTTAAAGTTGTTAAACTTTGTTTTAAGTAAAAGGGTTTTCATCTTAAAGCTTTAAACGTGTCGCTTCAAAATTTTGGTTTCTGACGTGAATAGGTCCGAAGCCATTATAAATTGTTATTGAACTATATTTAGATTGTGTCAGCTACTTGCCTCACAAAAGTTAGTCACTCATTGTTGATTTGTCCCTTCAATAAAATATATTCAACGTCGTTCTCAAATTATGTATGTGCTATTAACTGTAACACGCAAAGTGCTAGTTATACTGGTTAATGTTGCATTACTGTTTTACCGTTAAAATTAGGTGCTGTTCGTTCATTCATCATTGAAAGGAAAGACGCTTAACGATTTCAGCTACTTATTGCAGCTTTCACATAATTACACAAACATATTGTTGGGTCTCTAGTTTTTTATTTATTAATGTACAAAACTTGTTTTTAATAATTTATAATACTCAGGCTCATATCTATAAGCACTGAAGCTATATTATGTTAAGCCAGAATTAGAAATGTATGCTTTATTCTGACGACAAATAAGGTGGTTAGAATTTGCCATTGACAGTTTAATTCATAAACAATAACGTTGCGGCGTGTTCCAAATAGCGGGCAAAAATTAGGCACTGAGAAAAAAAAATAGAAGTAACCTCTATTCCGAGTCGACAAGGACACAAAGATCAGCACCCAATCATTTATGCGTCAATCGGGAGCTCAATAAGGGCCTGTGCTGCCTTAACGGTACACGGAGCGGCCGTCTATTCGGCGTGCAGGTTTTATGTCATTTCAGAGAACAGCGCGGCGCAGGAGACTCGCCTCACGTTGCGCTGCTCAATAACATAACATGAAACAAATACACCGAGCGGACGCCCGCTCCGTGCCCCGCTTAAGGCAGCGCACGTTCTTAAACTTTCAGACATCATCTGAAAGGTACATAGCAATTTGTTTAAATTTGTTTCAATTCCAAAAACTAAACGAGATATTTGCATTACGATATCGAAACAAAGAAAAATAAGCAGTGCCCTTGTACATGTCTCTTGTTTCTCTTTTATCTAATATTTTATTGTGTGTGTACAAAATAAATAAATAAAAATCCTTACGCAAGTTTAATCCCCTTTGGCAGTAGAACTCACTTACCGGTGTGCTCGCCAGAATAAACCTATTACGGCTTGTAGCTGTATTGCGGTGCTATAAAAGTTGTGTAAAGGATACGTGTAAAATGACTTTTGACGCACTGCGGGTTGAATGTGTTGTGCACAGAGTCGTCTGTAAAGACGATATTAACGATGTCATTGCCTATGTGTCTCTTCCTTTCCAGCTGAAAAAAAAAATAATAGTAATAAATATTGAAAAATTACAGCCTTACTCAGAAACGTCAGATTAATTTTGTTGCTTCACTAAGTCACATGTTGTCTTCTTATATCGGTATCGCAAAGAAAGTGTCAGAATCAACATAGGGCAATCTCAAAAGATAATTGACTCCTCTGAATGCGACCGGTAGTCCCCAACTTGAGTTGAGTTTGTACTACGGATGATATATGAGGAGCTGGCGAACAAAACGGTATAATTACGCTTCTTGTGAAAATACCTTTTTTTTACAGTCCGGAGGTTTTGGGCTTGCTGAATTTGAATCTCAACTTATTTTCAATGAAAACCGCCTAAATCAGTGTTGAAATTAATAAATCAAAAACCACTGTAAAAGCTCACTGTAGGTGTGTCATTCAGTTTTTTACTGCTCCTGTAAAATTTAAGTTTATGTAATTTTTGTTTTTGTATGTTTTGTTCGGCAGCTCCTCATATGTACTTATACACCGTAAATTTTGTGTTACCTAAGAAAATTAGCATATTCTGACAACGATTTAGGTAATATATCCGTAAGATTTTCTTTTCTTTTATTATTTTTCACATTAATTCATTAACTGCAGAATTATGATTGTCATTAATTGATGGGTTAATAATTCCAACAAGGTAGGTATTCCATAATATTATTTAAAAATTTGCGCCGTGTTAGGATATTTTGTAAACGTTATAAATATTTTTTTTTATATGGAGGTGTAGTTCTATTTACAACTGTTCTCATTATTTTTATTTACATCATTTTTAAGTTTCTCAGGTAACTTAAAATTCGTGGTGTATATAACGACGGTCATAATCATAATACATTCTTAATAATAATATCACTAAAACATCAACAAGATTATGCGAATCTCACAAAGAAATGCTCTTATTGGAATTGGAATCTGGGATCATCGCCGCATAATAAAGGTTCTCTATCGTTAGTATTAATACTTAAAAGATTCAGAAAAAAGCAAAATATTTCCTTATCCTTTGCAATATATGCAAATGAATCCCTTGTTTGCTTGCACATGTTTGTGAAACAGTACCTAAAGTTATTGTGGAGTCTGGGGTCCGAACAAACCTTTTACAGGTCGCTGAACCTTCAATGTCCGGAATTAATGTAATTAGCTACACGATACAAATCCTTAAAGACGTATGACAGTGCGAAATGGGATGAACACACAAAAGAGAGATTGTACCTACAAAAAATCCTACCTATTCATCCTGGTTATTAGGTACAATCTATCTATCTTAACTTGTTATGTACCTTTTATAGATAGACTAGCCTTTATCACAGTTTATAGCCTAAATCAGAGTTTTCAATCGTGATATATTTCCAAACAATAGTTTTGATGCATTTTATTAAATTTCACATAAAAATGGTAAAATGATGTGTTATAATCCTAAAGTTTAATAAATCACTCCTTAGTAAAACAGACAGTACACAAATATTACTTGTTTTAATTTAACGTTAAAAGTTATGTTGCGTAAAATAGGTCCCAAGAAGTGAAACAATAAATAAAATCAGTCACACGAATTGTAAATCTGACTTTTGTGTACCAAGTTTTGATTTCTTATACCTAATTAATGTGAGACACAATATTTTTACATAATAAAGTTTGCATTTGTAGCTATCAGAATTAAAATACAAATTTTGAAGAAAATTGCTACCTTTAAAGGGTTCCGTAGTCCTGACAAGGAACCCTAGTTTATAGTTTCGTCATGTCCGTCTGTTAGCAGTAGAAAACTGAGATTTTGTGGAGAAATGTATATCAATCACCAAGAATTTTTTTTTATCGTCTATCCTATCGTGAGGGAAATATCGTTAAGTTGGTCCCTTAAATTACTTAGGGGTGCCTAAGACAAATTTTATAAGATATGGAATTTTAAAGTGTTAATTTTTGTTCGAGTAGGGCATACCCCCCCCCCCCCAAAAAGCTAAACTATTGGCTTGAAAAACCTGGAAAAATTTATCATGATAGTCCTTTTCATGAACTTTTAAGGAAAATTATAAAGGTTAAGATAGGATTGTTAGTTTAAGAGTTATAGTCGTTCAAATTTGGTAAAAGAAAATCTCTTATCTTTAGAAATTTCTTATAAGAGAACATTAATAGTGACAAAGATTAAGTTATTGTAGCGTAAAACCTTGCATTGAACAACAAAATCTAAAAAAAACTATTTAAAAACTACAATAAAATATCATTGGTTCCACAAAGCTACCCCCAAGTACCAACGGCAACGGCTTCTGAACCGCGCTATCGTTACGTTTTTATAAAGAGTATATAAGCACTTGTAAAGATCGGCGGTCATCTCTCTCTTATCGGCTTCAGATGAAGCTGGTAAATCCTTTCGGCCATAAGCATGAACTACGTGTGTCTTTTACATCCACTCCCACGCCTGGGAGAAAACAAAAAAAATCGGCGGTTGTAGCGGTGGGTCGTTCTCAAATTTTCTGACGACGAAACGCAACCGTTTTTTCTTAAACTAAAACTAGTCCTCGAAACGGTTCCAGTTCGCAACTGATTTTGGTTGCGGCCGGGTGACGCAACGAAATGACACGCGACGGTCGAACGAATGTAACGCAACGAAACTGAACTAAATGAAATCTTGTTGCTGCGAACGAGACGACGAAACATCGAAATAAATGTTGTGTTATTAGGGACACGATATCGAATAGAAAGTATCGATACTGTACTCATGAGTAGTATCGGAAAAAAAGTATCGTACTCATAAAAGTATTGAAACAAAAGTATCGATACTTCAAAGTATCGAGTACATTTCATAGGGCCTGATCGGATCCTCTGTGGCCTGATGAGCAACTCCGCGGTTAAAATTACACCCACTAACACAAAACATTATACCCACTTATGTTAACTTGGACCTGACACGCAGATAACGACGGCCATTGGCATGCTTCACTCAAGATTATAATTATAGAAGAGGTTACCTCCGTCTTGTTTTCAGATCCGTGGTTTCAAATAGGTATACACAGCACAGACAGAATAATAGTGTTACACTTGAATAGATCAAATACAGTCAAGCGAAATGCACAATAAACCGCGAATCAATCACAGTTCCTAATTATATGATCGCTAAATAAATAACTATGAAACAAAACAAAGCGCAAAATAAACACAGGCACAGATTGGAAAGAATTTAAATGTGTCAGTTACTGACTTTATAACAACGCAATCGAACATTTTAGAAGGTTTGCTATGATTTAACAAGTTAGCGTTGCCATCAATATGAGGCGCTTATCCAAATTTTTAAAGGTATCGATACTTGCCAAAAAGTACTCATTTAGTAAAAGTATCGAATACAAAGTATCGAGTACAAAAGTATCGGTATCGAAAGGAAAAGTACTCGATACCACAAAGTATCGATACTTTTTTCGTGTCCCTATGTGTTATACGATAGTCGACTTTAAATGTTCAATAATAAAGATTATATTATTGTAAAATCAAAGCTTAATTATCATAGAACGAAACAGCCTCATATTATTGCGTTCTATTATAGACTGTGTTTACTTCATTATAAAGTACATATTGGCGTGCAGACAATCCGAGGACTAGTTGTTCGACGAAGACTGTTTTGATCCGAAACGTTAAACGGTTCTATCGTCGCGGAACACAAGACGGTCCTTGAAACCGGTTCGTCTTTAGAACGCTCACACCTAGGCGGTTAAAATTCGTAATTAAAAATAATAATATCGAGTTGATTTTGAGTTTGAGATGCAGTTTGACTTTTATTAAGGTATATAGTTAGTTTGATATCAATTTGATTTTTTTAATTTCCGATACAGAATATAAAGATAAGAGAGAGATAAGAAATCCTACTGAAATATGAAGTGGTAACGACAGGCAACTATGAAACTCTACACTGCACGTGGCAGGACAAACACTTGGCCGGTTTTTTTCTTTGTGTTGTATTTGACTAGAAAACAAACATTTATTTTATTTATCTCCATCGCTTTTATTTACTCAGGACAGTTAAACCGACTCTAAGCAGTAGCCCTGCAGCCTGTTTCAAAATCATATAGTTTTATTTATCATTGTATAAAGTACAAAATCAAACTTTCAACAAAAACTGGCTAAGAGCGAATTAGACCAGATCGAATCACCCACCAAGGGTTCCGTACAAAGTTGTACGTATACAGCACAAACGGCCGCATCTTTTTATACCGTTAACTTCGTTGTTTGACTTTTTCATGGATTCAAGACTGTTGACTGTTTTCTACGACCGTAGACCTGAATATATGGTATTTCAACTCGATACGCGTTCCTGGAATAAAGGGTCTTGACAGACAGACAGACTGACAACACAGTGATTCTATAAGAGTTCCGGTTTTCTTTTAAACCACGGAACCCAAAAAAATAAGTTTCTTAATGTTTTTCGATGTAAACAATCAGAAAATAGTGATTAAATAACAGTTTTTTTGTTGACTTGTTTCATTTATAGTAGTAGTAGTAGAGATTCATCGTAGCGGTGTAGTAATTTCTGTAGCATTGTAGCACTGTTGCTAGCAGTTTCGTAGTGTCGTAGCCAATTCCGTAGCCTATCAATAGATGTAGTGTTGTGATGAGTTATTTGTACCAATCTGAAGTATCTTAACTTACATTTAAATTATTACAGATTTCAACAAGAAGTGCTTGGAAGCATCTTTGCGGGATCTTTTCATTTCATCAAATGTGTGTTCAAAAACTTAAAATCCAAAAAAAATACTGGTTGTTATTATCACTTTAATGATTCAAATTAGCTCAAGATGGCTGATCATATCTTATTATTTATAGCAATATACCAGCAGCAGTGGTAACGTTGTAAATTGTTATTTTTTCGATACGATATTCTGGTGTAAATTAAGTATGTTTGTTTTATAAATACATAATAGTTATTAACTCTGTATCCGTTTTGGAATGATAAAGTTTATAATTTTAAAGTGTCTTTAGGAGAAACAAAGCTCGGTTGGCTCAATATTAAGTCTCGGATTGTTTGAGGTACAAGTTGGGTTCCATAAATCCAACCTCGGAGGGATTACAATTGGATTGAGTGAGCTCAAGACACTGGCCTATATCTTGGCAAGGCTTGATTTATTTAGTACAAGTTCCTTTTTGGGGTTTGTCTATTGGATTTTGTGTTACGAGTGCACAGGTTTAAGATGTCAGGTTGTGTTGATAACTCCATTTCGGGATTGTCCCTAAAACGGGAGTTAGTTTGAGTAATAAAACAATCTTTTGTCGCTTGTCTGAACGATTTAATTTGGAATTTGTTATTCCAGCAGGCTCCAATTTGTGGGTTTTATGTAAGCTATGAGGCAAGTGAAATAAACATGTGCCTATGTCATTCGTTATTTATACCAATATTAGCAATAAACATTCATGTGTTGTACCGGAGTGGCAGAGCTCTAAAGGTTCCTAATCCAGTATGAGACAGTAATATGAAGTAGGTATATTATTTATCATTACTTTTTACACAGAGTATAGCGTAGTTATTAGTTTGGTTAAATAAGTCCTTAAAATTTAACATTCGATTAAAATAATTGGTTTTGCAGTAAGAATAGTTTGTATTTTTAGAATAGATTTTTGGCAGATTTGTGGAGTCTATGTATTATCTATACTTATAATAAATCTGTAGAGAGGTCAATTCTGTACATGAAATATATTTTCAAAATAACTATCAGGGGGTGATTAGTGATCGATACTGATGCCAAAAATGCAATCAGTAAAATTTTTGTCTGTCTGTCTGTCTGTGTGTATGTTCCTTATAGAAACAAAAACTACTCGACGGATTTTAACGAAACTTGGTACAATTATTCTTTATACTCCTGGGCAGGTTATAGTATACTTTTCATCACGCTACAATCAATAGGAGCAGAGTAGTGAAGGGAAATGTTGGGAAAACGGGAGAAGTTACTCCATTTTTTAAGCTTCCGTCTAAAAAATATCTCGCAACAGCATATGTCTATCTTTTATGGTTGACTCACAATAACACGTGTAACTCCTCATAGCTTAGCAGCAGCTTAGCAGTTCGGAGCATTCTGATTATATTTGTTTACTCTTACGTTTATAATACTCTCACTCATATCTAATTTAAAAAAGTTAACATTATTACCTATTCAATAAAAAGAGAATCATAGAAATCGGTATAAAAACACCAAACTTATACATGAAATAAGCCATTGCGCCGTCGCACGTGAATACTGAATCATGCTGTAAGGATTATTTTTGTGTAACGGTTGCCGCGCTTGACACGGGTCGCGGCGGCGGTAGGGTATAAAAAGGCGGGAGGTCCGATAGCGAGCTTCCCCGCCCCCCCGATCCTGAGAGACCTTCAGTCGCTCTGTCCTAAACCGATACGGATGCACATCAGAGTGCATCCGTCCTCTAAGCGCACTATGCAGTAGTATTTACTAAGGCAGCGCTGCATCATCCCCTTCTCAGGGGTTGATCGCATCAGATGAAGCCTGTATGGCCTCTAAGGCCATAGGCATCCCCCACGGGTGTGTTTTAGTCAGTAACAGTCTGACATAACCCTACAGCCGGCTGTAGGGTATCCATGAGGATTTCACACCCGCTCGCCCGACTGAGAGGAAACAAAAAAATAAAGAAAGCGAGCTTCATTCAATATTTGGCTGTTGATGCGTTCAGAGCGTTCGACCTTATTGACAGACAATAATTGATATTAAGAAACCGTGCTTATCTTAGAATAAAAACCAAACATTTGTAAACAAAATTAGCAAATAAATCATGTAAAACGTGTAGAAAATTAGTACTGGAAAACGGAAATATGAGAATTTTAGTTTGATTATAAATACAGGTAATAAAGTCAAAGGTGACTGACTGACATAGTGATCTATCAACGCACTGCCCAAACCACTGGACGGATCGGGCTGAAATTTGACATGCAGGTAGATGTTATGACGTAGGCATCCGCTAAGAAAGGATTTTGATCAATTCTAGCCCCAAGGGGATAAAATAGGGAATGAAAGTTTGTATGAAACTTTGTCAATTTTAAACCGATCGGGCTGAGACTGCATGCAGGTATAAGAAGAATCATAGATGAATGTCATTGTGTATAATACAAGCCTGAAAACAAAAACTGTAGTCTACACTTCAGCTCTAAACCGAAGCGAAGCGAGGGCGGACCGCTAGTATTATAATAAAAACGAATGTTATTTTTATATATGTATAGGTATTACCTAAGCAAGTTGTAGTAACCTTATAATGTATGTTTTGTTCAATATTTTTTATCCATCCTATTTTGCACTGTCATTACTATAGCTTTCCTAACATACACAATGGAATATATTTTATTGTTGTTGTTGAAATCGATAAATATTTTATTGTGTCGCAAATTTGATGCTAGTCCAATACAATAAACATATTACAATCAAATCATTGACGGAGTGTAATATAGGTTTGTACGCCGGGTTTCAAGTGTCACCTACTCGAGAGGTCTGAATCCCGGTGGGGGCTGATTTTTGTGTGATCAATACGAGCATTTGTACTCCAGTCATGGATGTTTAATATGTATTTCTATATTATTTTTTATTATAAATGTACAATATATGTATTCTATCAGTTACCCTAGTATCCAATAACACAAGCCTACATTGCTTACTTTAGGGCTAGGCTAATAATTTAAGTGAGTGTTGGAAATATTTTATATTTATTTATTTTTTTATTTAACATAATAATGCCTTTTGCCGCATTTACATTTGGTCGTCAGCCTGTATTCGGGTGTACGTATTCGAACACCTTCCTTAATACTAGAATACAGGCTGGAAGACGGTGTCGGGTAAACAAAAGGAAATCTACCCGAATAAGGGCGTACTTGACTCTGTTGATTTACACTTGGTCATTTACCCGAATTCCATTGGTGCTCGTATTCGGGCTAACGAGACCAAGTGTAATCGCGCCATTACTAACACTGCGCGTACAAACATACGTACAAAGAACTCCCCCCTAGATATTAGAATGTCCACCAACAAAATTAGCTTCAAAACCAAGCTACGAAGGTTTTTTACAGTAACACGAAGTCTAGCTTAAACGTTAGTCGTCATTATTATGTATTTATTTAGTGTGTATGCATGTATATGTATAGTTATTTATATGTAAGTACTTATTTATATATGTGCACTTTATATTTATATCTATTCGTCTTTCTGTGACTTCCAGCTAAGTTGGGCACCCTATCACTATTTATCGAAAACACCCTATGGTTGACTGGTAGAGAATGCCTATGGCATTAAGTCCGCCTTTGTAAGCTTGTGCATTAAGCATAAATAAATACGTACCTGTTGCTTATTGTCCTTTGAGAACGGCAACATAGTCGAGACGTGGAACATAATCTCGTGGCCCTGGTGCATTGTGTAGATGGAATGGCTGCCCGTCATGTCACCTGCAATTGCGCGGCGTAACCATGTGCATTGCATTAGATTAGAACAATAGATTGTCCAGCACCATTAGTAATGAACAGCTTGACATCTCAGTATGAATGTTGTGCCTATATTGGGAGCTGTGTAAACTTGAATTTGTAGGTAATGCGAAGTTAACTCAATGAATGGACATATTTCGAGTGAATGTGAACTTATAAACGAATTCCTAGTATGTATATTATTGAATGATGTCTTCAATGAAAATATGTCTTTTCTTATACTCTTCCATTTTAAAATTTTAGGGTATATAATGTCTTTAGATTTCATGATCGATAAATAACTGTATATATATGACTGCAATCCTTCTCTAAATTTAATTTTCAATTGTTGATTTAAAGACCAGTTGATATCATGTGTCTATTAAAGAGTGTTAAAGCATTCAAGTTCGAATATTGGTAAGTTTTTTGTGTGATAGCAACTTTGTATATTCCCGATTTACAGTTGCTCGTAACTTTTTTATTTGTTAAGAAGTAGACGCTCAGGCCACGTTGTTTTATCTATAGCTAAATTTGACCAAATTGAGTTAAAATACTATAGAAAAAAATAACCATTTGTCATACTATGTATTTAACCTCACATTAGCTATTACTAAAACTTAATAACGATTCTGTATTTTATGGGGATGTTCGGACTATTGATTCGGTTGTTTGAATAATTTTCATTCATAGTCCTAATTAAACTTTAAGTGTAACTTTTAACTAAGTTTGATTTTTTTTATAGAAGTACTAGCTGACCTAGCGAACTTTGTACCGCCATAAAAATAGGGGTTGATGTTAAAAAGGGTGAAAATTTAGGGTGGCATGTATTTTAAATGCTAAACCTTAAAAAAAAACAAAAAAATATATAAATAAAAATAATGTTAAGACCCTTATCACTTAGGGGTATGAAAAATAGATAATAGCCGATTCTCAGACCTACTGAATATGCATATAATATTTCATAAGAATCGGTCAAGCCGTTTCGCAGAAGTTTAGTAACTAACATTGTGACACGAGAATTTTATACATAAGATTATATTAAAAATCAGTAAAATTTCATTAGTAAAGTAAATGCAAAGCATACTCAGAGACAAATCCTGGTTGGACCTAAATAAAATATTCACAGACAAAGTAGACCCATCCTGCGGTTTTACGCAGTGGAAACAAGCATTCGCTTTATTGATTTACGAAGTGGTAGGTATATTGGTGTGTCTGTATGCAGAACAAAAGATATGGTTTACCTTTGACGTCGAGCCCGCCTCGGAACCGGTTCCAACCGCGCAATCGAATTTTGTCTCCCAAAAGTGAAATAAATCGCTCCCATTTCTCGTCACCTTTTTCTGAAAGAATCCGGCACTTTGATGACCGCTCATAAAAATATTTTATGGAACACTCGGGTGCAATGGGTCTACATCAAATGATTCCCTTACGAGTAATACGACGACAACACCCTGTTTACAGGTAGGCAATCGGAGGCTATTAATTGAGTTATGCGGGCACTTCACTTGGCTATTCGTGTTTTCTATCTGTAAACAACGCTCTGTCCTTATCGTGTTTTGTAAGGAATGAAAAGGACAGACTAAGGTCAAGTTTACAAATCGCAATCACAAATAGCCAAGTGAAGTACTACACAAATAGTAAGTGAAGAACTGGAAAAGTATAATTTAAGAATATCAAAACTATGTATTGACGGCTTAAGTGACTCAGTATCCGGACAAACCCAATGTGGGTTTTTGTGATACTTTTTATTAATTACTGTATTTTGTATTATCAAATAAATGATAAAAAAAAAGTGTGAATTCAGTCTCTCCTATTCGTTTAAGTATACAGCATTAAGACAAAATTTCGCATGCTTTGACGTTAAAGAAATGTCAGATAAAGAAGACAAGATGAAACATGATAGGCACTTACCATTCGAAAGCATTTCATCGTCAGTTTTTTGTGCTGGCTTCATGAGCATTACGCCTATTTTGAAATTAACAGAACCTTCTTGTTCTTCCAGTAAAAGAATATCCTTTTGTAGTTCTGCACACGTAATCTATAAAAATAAGTAGTATTTTAACAATTCAAATTAACGATACTGCTTCTAAGACACTAAGGCCCGTATTACAAAATGACAACTAAGTGTTGATCTTTACTTGAGTACAGTTAGAAAGGGATGTCGTTATGTGCTATGTACATCCCTTTCTAACATGCTCAAGACTATATAGTTACTGAGAATCTTTCTGTAATACGGGCCTAATAGGCCTACCACACGCACGAGCTTCACCACAGTTTTGCCTGCGCAGGCCGGTTTGTACACGGAACACGGTGCGTGTAGTTGGTAAAACTGTATCACGCGCCAACCCCACAGCGCGGCCTGCGCACTTTTCGACTTGCTTGAAATTTTGCCTGCGCAAGCCCGGCCTGCGCGTACTTGTCTGTGCGTGTGGTTGGGCGTTCAGTGTTCAAGCCACAGTCGAGTGTATTTCGAGTCGAGGCTCGCTCGTCGTTTCATGAGGTCGTTCGTCATCGTCACTCAAAAATGGCAGATTAGCGTACGTAATCGCGAATTCACGTCTGAATTAATTAGTTTATACAAATCTCTGCCTGCACTCTGGAAAATTAAATCTAAAGATTATTCCGACCGAAATAAAAAGAACGACGCCTACGAAAGAATGATTAATAAAATGAAAGAGGTAAGAACATAATTTTTGCAACTAAATACCTATGCCTAATACCTACTACCTACCTACTTGCACATATTATGTACATATCCTATCGTTTTTATATATTTTTTTAAATAGCAAACACTTGAAAAATAGTAGCATAAGAAATGTTTCTTCATTAGAAAACATTGTTTCCACGCCAATGATTTCGATAAGAATGAGGCTTGCGCGTACTTACCTGTGCCGTGTGGTAACGCACAAAGTGTACAGTTTTTTCGTGCGAGATGCTTGCGCAGGCAAAACTGTGGTGAAGCTCGTGCGTGTGGTAGGCCTATAAGACCCCGTTGTTTTATATATAGTTCAATGTGACTATTAGACAATATCATGTCAAAATTTACAAAAACTATGTATTTGACGTCAAATTAAGTAAGTTTCAAACAACGAAGTAAATATATTTTGTAACGAAAGTGATCAAGCAGGCAAAGTATGAAATTCGCTGCCGTTTACTTGGATTAATTTCCCACAATTTGTAATTTTGCTATAATTATTTAGTTTTACTAAATTAAAGGGTTCGTAAATAACTCATATTTAGGAATTAAAATAATAACCAATCTAGAAACCTGGGAATTCTTTTACAATGAAAATATACTACTCGTATGTCCCTAGACATTTTCGAAGAATATTTGACATGAAAGAACAAGAAATATCAAATATAAGGCATTTGTTTGCGATGCGAAAATCCATGATACAGAAAGTCAATAATCTCTTCATCTTTATTAGATGTAGAATGTCCACGAAGATAGAAATACACATATTATTATGGCAACATCATTACATATAATGACAAACAGAAACGATCGAAAGAAAAAAACCCTTTCAATTGGCCTATACACAAATTAAGGATTTATCATTTTGGTACTTCGTTTAATAATGTTAGACATGAATATAAATAGGATGAATGTGAAGAATGTTATCGTAACGATGTTTGCGTTTCCTGTTATAAGGGTATGGCGACATTAATTTTGTTTACTTGTTGGTCTGGAAAATGGAGCTGCGAGGGCATATATTATTTAAATTGCTTAATTGCCATTTTTTAAATTGGAATAAATTATTACTAGCTCTCTATCTCATCGAACTAAACGAATGGACAGCTGGTGTTCCTAAGTAAAACTCATTGTTATATGTGTTCGTTACGTTTTGAAAAGAAGCTATTTTAAAAGTTTACTTATATTTAAAAAAAAATATTAACTAGCTTTTATAATCAAATACTTTTGTAGATGAATATCATCAAAATATTGCATAGTCACGCGATATACACATGCGATATACAGATTTGACTCTAATCTCGCTGGCATTAACATGGACGTAGGATTTCGCCACGTTGGGACTATCGTATGACTGACGTATTTTATTGCTTTTATTTGTTAACACACGTTTTTTCATCGCATATGATATTGTATTCCTTAGTGTCGCCGCACACGGGCCACACGCCACAGCCACAAACGCCGCCACGAGAAGTTACTAGCGGCTACTAAAGTGGCTGAAGCGCGCGACAGCGGCCGATTAAGGTAAGGGAAAGAGGGGTGGGGAATCGCGCGAATGACGTGTATCGGTGTTTTTATCGGCGCATTAAGGGGCCGGTGCGGGCCACAAGAAGCGTGCAACGACGATCTGTAGTGTGTGGCGGCCACCGGCGTACCGTGTAAGGCGAGTCCATATAAAATGTATGAAAACTACGAGAAATATGCCGGTGGCGGCGTTTTGTGGTTGTGGTTGGTGGCCCGTCTGCGGCGACGCTTAGTTTTAAGTTTTATTAGTGAAACAACGTAAAAACACATGAAACGGTGACGGTTGGTTTAGAATACCAATTTATTTTTGTTTAGTTTCTAAAATCTGAGATATATAGGTAGGCCGCTTAACTGAGATCTCACCTGTGGGGCAATGGGTGTGGTGGAGGACGTGAGCGGACACCGTGAGAGGTGCGAGCGGCAGGTGTTTGCAATTATGACAAGAATGTGTAGTGCAGACCCGCTACAGTTCAAGTTTAGCCCTGAATCAAAATCGGACATTGACATTTCCAATGTCAAATTTTGTAGGGAAAACAAGGTTTGCAAACTATTCGAATTCGATAATTGTTCGTGCTAGGGGTACTGATCTCATGAAGTGCCAAGCTCCTTACTCTACATGGCCTAACTCTACAATGTCTTACTCGAAAGTGGTGAAAAACTGAGTAGAGAAAATTTAATAACCAGAGTCAAAAGAATTTCTTTGTTTACCAAAAGTTAATTTTAAATGTGTAACCGGTCACTAGGGGATCATCAGCAATGAGAAAGTTTATTAAAATTTTATTTTAAACAATTAACTGCTAGGTGTTTAAAGCTAAAGAAAACGTTAGTAGAAAAAAGTCCACTCGCACCAGGGCCTACATTCTGTAACATTTTCACGCGCGGATCCGATGCGGTTCCGCGCCAATCTATATGGGAAACTCGCGGATCCGATAGGCCTGCAGGTTTCAAACGGGATTCGAACCCACATCTTCTGCTATCCTATTGCGAACGCACTAACCAATAATAATACCGAGACCTTAATGGCCGTGTCGAATTTATTCTAGTATTTCTTAGGCTGAGGCGCCTGGATAGCGAAATAGGTAAAACTAGTATAGCGAAATAGTGCATATTTTTTTCGTCAAATAGAATACGTTTATGTATTTACCCAGAATGGAAGGGCTAAGTTGAAGAGGAGTCCAGATGCGGGGAAAACTAGCGAAGCATAAATGCCCGTATCAATCATCTTTAATTTGCTAACTCACAACTTAATTCTTTACGCTTTGTTTGAGGAATTGTATTTCGTAAGAAGAAGGTAAACACATGATTGGAGAGAGAGGCTATTATGCCATTCTTAGAACATGATAAATATATCAAGGTAAAAAGAATCTATTTTTTTTATTATGATATAATTATATCAATATTGAAGACAAGCAACCATTGGGCATAAAGACAAAACGGCAAAAGGGCATATCGAAAAAATAATAAAAGTAATCTAATCTCTATTTGGTGGTATTTTCTAGTGGATTTTCGAAAAATGCGTAAATGCATATCTTGCCCTGACCATGTCCTAACAAAGAGTTGATGGAGCCTTTGAAGTATGCGTATTACGGTGAATCTTTTTATTTTGGGCTCTGTCAAGTGGCTAAACCTAATTTCAAGATTAATTAATTAAAAAAATCAAAAAACCCGACTGCTTAAATATTACTTAAATTATTTTATTATTTTAAAAATAAAATAACAACTCCAGCAGTCTGTTAAGTAAGGAACATAGCTACTTTAACAGTCGGGATCTATTAGAAATTGAAGAACAGATCATGTTTTTTTTTAAAAACGGGTTCTGACTGATAAAATTAGCTTTGTTCCTTACATAACAGAATTAAAGACTACTGGACTTATTATTTTCTTTTTAGTTTTTATTTTAAGTAATATTTAAACAGTCGGGTTTTTGATTTTTTCAATTTACCTTTTTTATTTCACACTTTTTACAGTTAGGATTATAAGACGGCATATACCGCAGTCTTGTCACTTCAGTAAGGGAGTTGATATCGCGGGGATGATAAAGTACCTTGTGGTGGTCTAAAAGATTGATTTATTAAGACAGAGAGACCTTACCACTAGGGTCAAAGCTACAGATGGGCCTCAATTTCCACAAAAGTGTGTGAAGTTAAATTAAGTCACTACCTATATATCAAATGCATGTAAATTATATAGTTAACTAGTACTTACTCAATTATATATTTTAACTATTTATTTAATTGAAAGATTGAAATTGTAATGTAATACTAACATAGGTTAAGAAAATTGTTACTAACATACGTATATGAGACCATGTCTTGAAATCAAAGCATTTTATTTTTTTTTACCCGACTGCCAAAGAGGGAGGGTAATGTTGAGGGAGTGTATGTAAGTATGTATGTATGTCTGTTCCTTTGTGACCTCCTGTAGCCTAAACGGCTTGATGGATTTTGATGTATGAGGTATCGTTAGATTTGTCTTGATTACGGGAGTGTCATAGGATACATTTTATCCTAAAAGTCCCACGGGATAAAGACATAATAATATTTTTTCTAAATTTCCCTTTAAAAAAATATGTATGCGGTATCATTAGATTCATTTTTAGACTGTCTTAAGGTACTTAATAATTCCCGCGATATTAATTCCCTTACTGAAGTAACAAGACTACGGTATATACCGTCTTAAAATACTAACTAACTAAAAAGTGTGAAATAAAAAAGGTAAATTTAAAAAATCAAAAAACCCGACTGCTTAATTATACTTCAAATAAAAACTGAAAAGAAAAAAACAAGTCCAGTAGTCTATAATTCTGTTAATAAGGAACAAAG